GTGAACAAAATCCATCAAGGGTGTTGAAAAGGCAGGGCTTATTTGTCGAGCATTTGGCATGTTTGGGATGCGCCACACATTTCAAATTGTAGCATGCCCATGCACAAGGGTAAGAATTTTTGGCTAAGGACCTCCGCAAGATAGAACGCATCGTTGGCCTTGGCGACGTAAAATCTGCTATTTTACCCCGTGGACCATGCATATGCTGAGCTGTGCTACTTCATTCAGCAAACCCGCTCATATGGGTCTACGTGCGAAAAAGTCTAAAATCTCCCAGAATTTTTTTCCTTAATTATACGAACCTTCGTGCCATGCGCTGAAGGTGATTCATATCGCCACAGTAAACAAATACGAATCTTTCGCCGAGATCCGAGGAACTTCGCGCTTGGCTTTAGGGGTGTCGTTCTTACAGGCATTGGCGAGGTATTTTAGAAGGGATGGGGAAGAAATTCTAGTCGGAGAGCAGCTATTCCTCGGAAAGCCTTTGGGTGGGGAGGGGGTGAATAAATTCATATAATTGCATCAATTTCAGAGAATTCGCTAGCTTCGCGAATATTTCGAAGGATTTGCCCTTTTTATTGTGGTGTGACTTCTCAATCCCCTTGACACTCGGTGAACGAACAATTATTTGGAAAATCATTTATACTTGCAGGTTGGTAGGAGAAGGATGGAGCTGGAATCTGGGCACGAGGGGTCAGTTGTGGAATTCCAGCTGAATCCCGCTAGTCCTTTTTGAAGAATCGAGTTAGCTCACATTTCTCACCCTGCGCCAACCCCCCCCATCCTGGCAATATCTGCAAAATTGTGCACATCGGCTGAATAACACTTTCATATCTTTTAAAGCCTGGCGCACTGAAATGTATAATGCAAAGCGCCATGCAGAAGTTATGAATAAATCAAAATCGCCTGCTGCCCTAATTCACGTATAGCCCTCGACTTCCCAGAATGCCCTTCGTTTTAGGGCAAACTCATAGATATGATCAAGCAATCACATTACCCCCCCCCTCTCCCTCAAAGTATACCCATAATGAATAAAGTGTGAACTAGAAGCATTATTTGACTACTCTTTTCCAAGATTCATTCTGTTGTATTTCCAAGTGACAATCCGCGATCGATATTTGTAGTCAAACGAAAAATGTCAGAAATGGAAATGATGGTGTGAAGAGCTCGCTGGTGAAGAAAAAGGTGAACGGAACCTCGGAAACACAGAATTACGGTCTCTTTTTTCGGTTGTGGTACAACGATGGACACAATGCGCCGGAGAGGGAGAGAGAATGAGCCCGAGAGTACGCCGTACAAGAGGGAGCAGACACACAACG